GATTAAGCCTAAAAGATGTGGAGAAATAGGCAGATAGTGTTTTGATTAAAACGTTTCCAAAAATTACATTTTGTCAAAATATAACAAAAAAAGTGTTATCAATGTATCATTTCAATGAACTGTCTGAAATATCATCCTAAATACATTTTTTGAAGCCCCTTTTTGAGCATTAGCAACCAAAAACACCTTAAAATGTTGAGATTTTTCCTGTAAGCTATCAAAGCTTTTGTTTCTTTCCAGCTGGGAAATCTCAGTATTCAAATACTATTTGAGATTTCTTTTTAAAATGACAAAAAAAATCCTTATTAAAATTAAATAAAATTAGGATTTAGACCAAATATTTATGTATTATTGTAACCAACAAGACAAATTAAATAACATCTCTGGATCTGCTAAAGATATCAGGATGATAAAAGTATTAAAATGTAGCTTTTAAAGCCAGGAATCTGAAAATATGATTAGGTCATTTTGACCAAATTTGACTTAATCCTCATTTCGATGTGATGGGTCACAAATATAAAAAAGACTGGAAATCTAAAATTTGTTACAGCTGAGGCTGAGGCACAGTAACATCCTGTCTGAGCAAACACTCAGCAGACATGTACTTTTATTTCTTGTCCTCCAGAAGAAGTTTTAAATCCCTTCAGTTCGTTAAGCTGGAAACGTTTGGGGGGTGGGGGTGATGGGGGGGACTGGAGACCGGGGCGTTCAGTTTCCCATGGAAACGGTTAAATGACATGTGAGCAGCCGTTGCTTGGAGACCCGTTTCCAGCTGCTGCGATGCACTTCAGATACAGGAATACCAAACGTCCTGCTGGGGTTTGCTTTTTATTAACGGGTTCAGATTTATCTGGAGTAGTGGCACTTTGAGGCATCGTTTTGTGAGTCCCTCATGTTTTTACACACTTAAATGTGACATAAGAGGAGACAGAGTACTTTTACTTTCAATAACCAGTTTATCACGGAGGGAATCCGCAAACTGAGGCCCCGCCCCTTCACACTGCACCCAACCCTAACTTCTCGACCTGAGGGGGACCACGTGAAGGTTCATGAGATATTCTGCAGACACTCGATCGCCTGCTTTTCTTACAAAGATAAATGTAACTGTTGTCATATTTGTCTCCGCTCTCCCGCTCATCTTCAGACGACCTTTTAAAAAAATTGTTGTTCCTCAACCCACCGAGGAGAAAAATCACCAGTGTTTTCTGACACAGAAAGCTGCTGCAGTCTTTCCCAACTGGCACTGAGCTGCGGCACGTGGCCAGAATCACTTATTGGCACTTCACCGCCATCTGCCAAGACGGAGAGGTTTCCTTCTCAGCTTTAAAAAGGCAGCGATGCCATGAGATTTCAGTTACATAATTAGGGAAAATAAACTGAAATCAGTAATTGTTTACACTGTTTGGAGGATTGAACTAGACTACTGTAGCTACTGCTTAATAATATATAATTTAGACTCAGAATATCTGAGCATGAAACTGTTGAAGAGCGGCCCCCCGCTCTCACTTGAAAACGAGTGCCCTTGAGCCGGGGTAATTAACCCCGAGCTGCTCCTCTGAAGCTGCTCTGCAGGAACTCCAGGAACAGGGAGGCCAAACAAGGACGCTCACATGATGTTTGATGCTCGAGCCCCTCACCCGCCTCGCGCCCCCCCCGGGCCCACCGCAAAAAAACGTGCGTCCCGTCGACTCGAATCATTCAAACACCGACTCGGATAAAATCGCTCAAAATGAGGTGGATGGTTTCAAACCCGGTGTCGCTGAAGCAGCAGGGCTCAGTATGAAGTCGTGGGGGCGCTGGTGTCTTTCAGGGTGGGGTGGCTGAGGCCATTTAAATGTGTTTTCTACAGGATTTACTCTTCATGTGTAAAATCAAACATACTTCAGAACTTAACGACCTCTGTGGAAAAATAAAATAATTATAAAAAGATAAAAGCTATTTTTAAGCCTTCTTTTATTTCTAATTTCCACTCCGGTGTTCTCCATATCCTTCTTCACAGTTCAGTAAACAGAAACTTCACGAGTCCCAGTGGCTGTGTTTCTCTCTTCGGTGGTTTGGTTCTTGTGTGTTGAAAGCAGAAGGTGTGTGTTTGGCTGACAGACTCCTTCTGAGACCATAAATCTCCAAACATACGAGGAGCAGCACACGTGATCCGATCTGTCTTCACACACAAGCCATGTGTGACTTCAACGTTTAGAGAAGGAAAGTCTCCCGAGATGTTTCCAACATGAGAGTTTTTATTTTCACACGTGATCGTTGGTGTCCCCGACATGTTCACACACACACGCATGGTTCTGCTCGGCGTGAACCCACCGACTGTGTGTGAAAACGCAGCTCTGACCGCAGGAAGACAGGCGGCTCCTCGAAGCATACTGGGAGCTCATTACTGTATTCTTTGGGCTGGAAAATGTCTGTCAGTGAGGATTCATTAAAAACTGACCTGCTGCAGCAGCGCCTGCTGTAATGAGAGGTTCTGCACAGTTTGGACCCTCCGGTGGTTCTGACTGGACAGGTGAGGTATCAGTGGGAATCAGGATGGAGTTTGTCCCAGTCATTAACTTTACACCCCTCATGTTTTCTGCTCAGGTCCAGAACTTCTTCTGAGACCTGCACCTTTTCATTTACAGAAGTGGATCAGTTTACTGGATCTTTTTTTTTTTTTTTTTTAAATCCCCAACAGAGGTCTCTGAAAGAACCTGAAATAGTTTCAACAGAATTATTTTAAACTAATGAACCAGGCCTTAACAAAATGTATGGTGCTCCTAGGAAATATTTAAATAACGTGACGACAGGGACCAGTTAAACTCAGGTGTATCTGTCTGCTGGTTTACAGGCAGGTCTGTTTGGTATCATGGTGTGAACCACCACCAAAAAAATGTTGTACATCAGAATTGCGATTCTCATTTACAAATATTCAGAATTTATTTAAAATGTCTCCAAATCGTGTGTGTGTGTATATGTATGATATATATATATA